AGCACACCCTTGAGAACTTCTTGGAGATCTGGTCTGGTGCTGGTAAATTCTTTCAGGTTTTGTTTATCTGAGAATGTTCTTGTCTTTTCTTCCCACCTGAAAGATAATCTTGCTGGGTACAGTATTCTTGGCTGAAATTGCTTCTCTCTTAATACTTTGAATATATTTTCCCATTCTCTCCTCACTCACATTGTTTCCAATGAAAGATCTGCTGTTAGCCTGATGGGATGTCCCTTGTAGGTAACTTGATGTTTTTCTATTGCCAATCTTAGTATCTTGTCCTTGTCTGTGGTTTTGGTCAACCTGGCTATTATGTGTCTTGGAGAAAATTTTCTTGGGTTGATTCTATTTGGGTCCTTTGTATTTCCTGGGACTGGATCTTCAAATACCTCTCTAGGTTTGGAAAGTTTTCTTGCAGGATTTCATGGAATAGATTATCAATGCCCTTATGGGTCTCTTCACCTTCTGGAATGCCAATTATGTGGATATTTGGATAGTTGATGGTATCCAGTACTTCTCGCATATTATTCTCAAATTTGGGGGCCATTTTCTCAGTCTTCATGGTGCATTTTTCTAGGCCAGCCATTTTCTCTTCTACATATGAGATTCTATTTTCTGAATGATCTAGTCTGCTTTTAATACTTTCAAGGGAGATTTTTACTTCTTGTATTATAGACTTCATCTCTAGCAGTTCCGTTTGAGTCTTTTGTAAAGTGTGTAATTTCTCTTTTAGATCTTGCAAGAATTTCCTCATCTCCTGGAACTCATCAGCTTTTTTCTCCTTTCTCTTTAGCAGTTCATTATCTCTCTTCTTTTCCATTTCTGTTAACTTTGACATTATGAATGCTCTAAATTCCTTATCAGACATTTCCATGATTTTCACCGAACTGCTTGTGGATGAATAAGAGTTACTCTTTTCCCTTGGAGGAGAGGTATTTTCTTGTTTTCCCGTATTTCTTGTAATCCGGCAGTGATTTCTTGTTATCTGATGGATGGTGTGTTTCTTTCAAATTTTTGAAGTTCAGTCCTGAAATATCTAGTTCGCTGGAGCCATGTGGAACCTTCTTCTGATGGCCCGGCCTCTTATGTCGCTAGCTCGTTTGCTGGATGCGGAATTATCAGTAGAAAATATTCATACCTGAAATATCTAGTTCACTGGAGCCATGTGGAACCTTCTTCTGAACAGGAATTCTGTTCTAAAGTCCACACTCTTAAGCACTAAGCTATGAGGGAAACTTCTAAAGTCTGTGGGAAAAGAGAATTAATGTAGGAGATTATGTGAGTACACGGTATTTTTAAATGCCAGCAATTTTTCCATAGTACACATGCTCTACAAACCTTTTGAAGACCCCATGTTCTGTGTGTGGACAGACCCCAGGCCTGTGTACCTGAGGTATAAGGCAAAATGAAAGGGGCTGGGACAAGCAGGTGGCATGGTGCTTAAGGTGTTGGACTCCCACTTGGCCCAGACCTGGTGGCTTGCTTTCTCACACTCTCACTCTCTTTTCCTCTGTCTCTCTGTGGTGAACACATGCTCTTTAACAAATAAAAAATTAATAAGAAATATAACTTTAAAACAAATTAAATGTGCTGTGTTGGACCGGCATGGCGGTCTGGCTTTGTTTGCTTTCTGATAGCAGGTGCACATACACAGAAAGAGAAAGAACCTCAGCATGTTCTCATCATGCCAGAATCCCCTTCCCCTGCTCTCCAGTTAGTTCCTCAAGCTATGGGATGCCCACACACCTGCAGTGGGCCACGGAGCTTCCAGCATTGCCTTCTAACATGCTGTGGATGCTATCGGCTAGGCTGGGTCAGATGGTCATTTTAATAAGACTATTTCTCTTTTTTTTTTTTTTTTTGAGAGGATTTTGCTATAGGGCGCGTGCATTCGCCAGACAGACAGAGAGAGACATAGAGACAGAAAGCGAGAAATCACCCCCCAGGGGGGATGGTCACACCGCAATCCCTTCTCCTCCATTCTCCTCTAGGGATCTTGGGCACACACGCACACGTGCCCGGCGTAAGTTTTAAGCCACCGGGTCTGGGACGTGAGCCGCGGTCGACTACATGGGAGTCAGTGACATAACCATTACGCTAACTGCTGGTTCCCTAATACGACTATTTCTATAAGAAGAATTCTAGGGACCAGCAGGTGGTGTGGTGGTTAGATGCTAGACTCCCACATGGCCGATGCAGCTCAAGTCCTGGACATGGAGGTTTGCTTTCTCACTTTTCTTCTCTCTCTCTTTCTGTCTCTCTCATGAGCACATGTGGACTATAGCAACTTAGAACATAACAATAAATAAATAAATACATATTTTTTTATAGAAACCATTCTCCTCTGAACCGAAAAACTTGATTTATAAACTAGTCTTTGGAAAATTAACATCTAATGGCCTAAAATAAAATCATGCTCATTGTCTCTTCTTTCTTTCTTTCTCTTTTCCTTTCTTTCTTTTTCATTCCTCCTTCTTTCATTTCTTTCTTTCAACATGTCATGCTTTCAAAACTGTTCAGTAACTGTCACACCAGGGTGCTTGGAGAAAAGTGACCAAACTGGGGTTAAAATGACTCTCATTGATAAATAATAATAAAGGGAGTGGATTTTGAAGAGGATCCTAGACCAGACCAAGCCATGTGGACTTGGTATTATAGGCCCTCTGTGGACGCATCTTTGGACTCTCATGATTCCTTACGTCCTTACGTGGTATTTTATTTGTGTGGTAATTCAAAACTATAGTCTAGCCACGGACGACCCAGCCAGGTGTCCGCTGTGTAACCTGAGCCTGCCACAGTCTGAGTTGTCGCTCATACCCGTCCACACTCCTTTGACGCCCGACGGCAGAACGGTAATAGCTGAAGGTGAATGTGGTGAGCAGTGGGCAGGGGCCCAGGGTACAGAAGGACCAGGGAGGGCCACGGAGGCCAAGCCGTGACTGCACATGAGGTGAGCACTCGGTGCTGAGAGGAAAGGGGAGAGCAGGGTTCTTCATCACCCGGGAATCAGGACGGCATGACGGACGTACAACCACGAAGTCGTAAGAGGGAAAACCTGATTAAACTAATTGCACAAAAAGCAAAACTTTAAGGAATAAACCAAAATGACTTCTACAGGGCTCGACCAGGCTAATGAAATGCCTTCCCCAAGGACCCTGAAAACTCATCTCCCCGTGCAACTACTACCTCCATCCTTCTGGGAGAAAAACTGTAAGGTGAGTTTGATGGAGAAAACACGCAGATGTTCTTGTGAGAACATAGAAATGTTTTATTCCATCAGAATCATTCCCAGTCATCCCGTGTGTCTGCCAGGCCCACCGCAGGACAGATACGGCAGAACCTGCAATCGTCTTCATGTTCTCAATCTCTTACCGACCGGGGTGGGCTCAGTATCCGTCTACACTGAGAAGAGAGGCCCAGTGTCTCCGAGGTTCAGTTCTGAGCCTCCGGGACCCTCAGTGATGCTGTGAGAAGGACGTGCAGCTCAGAGCTGCTACGCAACTTATCCAAAGATAAACACCCGGAAGGCAGAGGAGACGGCCAGATCCAGGTCCCCTGACCCGGCACCTGTGATCTCCCACTGTTCTGCACTGCCCCCTCAGTGCCCCCTACAACCAGGAGTCTTGCTAAGCCTGTATGTGATCGGCCTCCTCCCCGTCTAGAGGTCATGAATATTTAAGTCGTCAAAGGTGGCAGAAATCGTGTGCACCGCCATCCTCTGGCTGGATTGCTCTTGTAGCTAACTGCTTCTTCTGAGCATCTGAGGCATCCACAAGCTCTGACCATTCTGAGACCTAATGAAACCCAGATTGTTGTGTGGAATTCTTGGAAATATCTGAACTGTTGTCCTTCTGAAACTACAGAAGCACAAATGCATTTTCTTTTTACTATTACTTATTTTATTTTATTGATTATTACTATTATTATTTTAACTCACCAGAGAAGAATGCAGAGAGAGAGAGAAAGTGAAACAGCAAGCCACCAGCCTCAGGATTTGAACTGCAGTCAGCCATGTGGGAGTCCAGCGCCCCAACCACCACGCCACCTGCCAGCCCCGTGCAGATGCATTTTCATGTACCTCTTAAACTAGTCACTGAGGATTCGTTTCCATCTTTCAGAGCCTGAGACTACCTCCTGCTTGCACCTGAAGGGAGGGCAGCAAATAGGCACGTCCCACTGACCCAGAGTGATCCTGAGCTTTTCCTCAGGGCACTCTGTGTCCTTCAGCAGTCTTTTCCAGATCCACACTGCACCCCTGCTTCTCTGTAGAGGGTCAAGGATCTCGTTCTGCCTTCTTGACCCTAATCTAGAGTTCAGGGAAAGGAAGAAATGACTGAAGACAATGGCAACATCTTGTTGCTTTTGACAGAGCAAGGCCTTGTGGGGTGTCAGTTTCCAAGAGTGACTGTCACGAGACTGTGGCTGGTGCCTTCATTGGTGTGGGAAGCTGCACACCAGCGAGTCGGCCGAGGTTTCTCAGAGAGCAAACAATTACCATGATTGGTTCCCTTCCAAAAACCTGACCTTCGAAACCTTGCTCTGATTGGCCACTAGAATCCCTCAAATTTGCATATCTGGCACCTCATGATTGGTCCAAGATCAACCAATCACAGCCCACCGTTTACAACCCACCAGAGTGTATATAACCATGATGCCTGGCCCACAGTAACCAGACGACGACATCGACCGAGACGACGACCAGGAAGACGACAACTGAAGAGCCTGAAGAGCTGAAACACCGCGCAGTCTCCAGACGACCCTGAAGATCCTGAAGAGCTGACACTGCATCATCTCCAGAC